GCTCCCTTCCCCCCCCCCCTCGCCTTTTTAGCTGATCACCCTAACAACCAGGCTTCAGCATCAGGCTACTGCTTATACCTCCTTTTATTCTTATGAACCTTGCTTTCCTCTATGCATAGTCCACTCCAGCACCCCTTCAAGCTCTCACCAAGCTTAGCCTACAGTTAATGTTTAGAGCACTCTCACAGGAGGTAGGAGATAGGGGATGAAGGAGGACCTACAACAGGGCTGTCCAACTGATGCAGCCCCAAAGGAGTTAACGCAGTCCATGGGCTCCCACCCAGCAACTACTCATCCCATTGTTCCTGCTGTACTGGCAGCCAGAGGCTCTGGGCTCCCCCCTCTCTCCTCCAGCTTCTGCTTCTTGCCCCAACTGCTGGGAGCAAGATGGGGCAGCACAGTGGGGAGGGAGGGGGCCCAGGAAGCAGTCTGTGCTGTGGGCACTCCACATTTCTAGGAATCCTGGCCTCCAATGCAGCAGAGGAGTCAGAATACCGACATTCGGTGCACAACCAGGAAAGGAGCCGGGCTACTCTCCACGCTAGGAAAGGAGCCAGGAGAGAAACTAAGGCTGCCCGTGAAACTAGGGAAAGGACTGAGTTGTTTGCCTTGTACATGCAGCAAAAGGGGGCACAGTGTTATACCTATGCCTTTCAAAAGATTTGACCTCTAGTGTTACATAAACGATATAATCCCCACTCGTCATTATTCCTATGCATACAATTAGAAGAAAAATCCAATGAAAGGTTCTCATGGAACATTAAAGAATGCAAACTGTAGATCTCAATTCCCTCGTATGTCTTACCTTTAGGTCATAGAATATAATGTCTCCTAGGACCAAATAGACCTTCACATAATACAGTGTCTCTTCATCAAATTCCAGAGGAGACGAGCAGAGTGACAACGCTTTCAGGTAAAAGTGTTCAGCAAGTTCACACTGACCAAGGCGATGATGGATGGCAGCAAGCCGATGATATGCTATTCGTTCATTTAGCTGATCTCCTACATAATACACAAATCAGCATACAACTCTGACATGCAGTGAGAAGATGGATCCTCCCAAACTGGGTTATACAAGATATTTTTCTTTAATTCTGATTTCTGTGCTTCTTTTCACTTAATTCAAAAGTCAGTGACCAAAGCTAAATTAATAAGAGATTACTTTATCCAACTAGACATGGGGCCAAATACTGGAGTCCTTGATTTTTACAAGAGCTTAATTTTGTGAGACACTGAATCTTTCATACTAGGTACTTATACGGTAGTACTCAGTGCAGTATTTGATTGTCTTCTGAGTATTTGACAATAAAAGCAACTAGCAATTATTTCCTGTCTGAGAGATACCCTGCCCCAATTGCCATTTTGGGAGGGGAAGTCCCACTGCTAACCCCTGACCTTTGCCACTAAAAGTCCCTCCCCTTGCTCCCCAAAGTACTCTTTTTGAGACAGGGGGTTGCCATCTTGGAACCAGAAATTAAAAAAAAAAAAAAAAATCATATTCTAAAATACTATATTTTAAATTAATTTCAAAAAATATTTTTGTCCCAATTCAGTACATTTGCATAGTTTATGTAGAGGTGATTGCATAATAGCTCAATATAAAATATCTTACTCTTGTATATTGTGTGGGGGTGTGCATGTGTGTGGGATTTGTGGGGGGGGAAGTTGTGAAGGGGTGTGGGAGGTGTAAGCATGTGGATGGGTGGGTGTGTGGACATGGGACAACCCCCCCACACACACAACACACCCCCACAAACCCCATACCATCAGGCCAGGCAGGATCCCTGCCACAACATGCAGCTCCTTGCCCTGCAGACAGGAGCTCCCCTCCTCGCTCACCACCATCGCACTCAGTGCCTCCATATGGATCTCACATCTAGAGAGCCGGGAGTCCCAGAGGTAGAGGCACAGAGCCCACCCAGTTCAATGGCATGCAAGCTCTGAAAGCCTGCCTCCTGCCAACTTTCAGAGAGGCAGCCATGAGCCTGTAAAAATTGTTTTTTTGGAGGAGCCCCATGGGCCAGATAGGATGGCCTTATGGGCTGGATCCAGCCCACGGGCCATATTATGCCTGCCAAAATAAATGCCGAAATAAATGTTTCAAGCAATGGCTCTCTCAGGATCCTGGTTCCTGACCATTTCTTATTACCATCTTTTTTTACTAATTAATGAAAGTCCATGTCTTTCTTATATGGTTATACTGAAATTAGAAAATTTCAATTTTCCACCCAAAATTCAACTTTTAAACCAAAAGGCTACGGATAGACATTACACATAAACTGGTTTAAGTGACCAGAAACTAGTTTAAGCCTGTAACAGAACAGAAGTTCAGTGCGCATAAACCAGTTTCAAAATGGCTGAGAGACCTGGATGAAAGTAGTATCAAACCTGACTAATTTAGGTTACGCTAGTCTATTGAACTTCTGTTCCAGATCCCCTCCCAACTCAAGTTGACTCACAGTCCCCCAGCATCCAAGGATGGTTTGCACCTCTGCCACAAACCCTACCTTTCAGGGTGGGTGGACTAGCCTTGGCCTACACTGTCTGCTCCAGCTGAGCAGGGACAACCCTGCCCCCAGGCCCTCGCATTGCTAAGGCACCAAAACCTCCATTCTTCAGCCCTGGTCCTGCCCTCCCCCAGGGGACAACAAGGAGTCAGAGGGCATGTGCTGGGCAGTCAATCAGGGATGTGTCCTGGTCGGCTGTATTCAGGTGCCCTCAACAGTGGCAGACAGGCTGGGAGGCATGCTCTAGAGCTCCCCATTTCTTTCCCAGGCTACAGCAGGCAACTGGCTGCCTTTCCAGATTCAACGGTGAATATCAATTCAAACTACACAGCTTAGAGAAACCTGCAAAGACTGAATCAATTCAGCCTCAGACTTTTTTTTTTTTTTTTTTTGGGGGGGGGGGGG